GGAATTACTTCTAAATTGGCCTGAAAACCAGCAAATAGATAAATCGCAGGTCCATTGGCCTGGCCCAATAGACATATCAGGGCAAGAGGAAGGTTGTTACTATTTGCAGCGGGACTTTGACTGAAATTGGCTTATTTGCAGCGGTACCTTTTTCATTAAATTTTTTTTTCAATTTCTCTCTCCTATTCCCAAACTCTCCCTAGAAATTCGAATTTCGTAAATTTTTTCGACAATCAAACCGTACAAACGAGCACGGAAACTTGAATGTTCTTCGAGTTTCCGTGCTCCAGAACACGGGAGCTGTAAATTCTCGTGCTCCATAAAACAGCACCTTCGAATTCCTTTTTAAATTTTAATTTACCGAATTAAAAAAAAATATATATAATGTTCCCGTCTTGAAGAACACGGGGAATTGAAGATTTTCAGCTTCCCGTGTTCTGCAGGACGGGGGATTCAAAAAGTTTGATTTTCCCGATCTGCAGAACACGGGAACTTGAAGAATCTTCAAGTTCCCGTGTTCTGCAGAACGGAAAAATCAATTTTTTTTTATTATATTATTATATTTAATTAGTTTGTTTATCTTTTACAGATAGCACGTCAGGACAAGGGGAAAGGGCTTATGGGTGCTTCTTCGAGTTCGGATAAAGTCCCGAAGATTAAATTTCGGTATGGCGGGGAAGCCGAGGCGGGAGCCGAGCGCATTCGTATGACTGCATCTCACCGTCGTAGGAGAGTTATTGAGCGCGGCACTGATTTACCCGTCGTGGACGAGGTTCCCCACATAGACCATAGTTCTAGATCTATGGCGGGTAGCATTCGATCTTTAGAGGCAGATTCTCGTATCCCCTACCAGGAACACGAGGAGGAGCAGGACCATGTTGGGAGCGATTTTGATGATGTTCCCGTCCCGGCTGCGCGCGCACGCAAGTCTCGGTACGAGTTCGATACTTTTAGTGGCCCACTTGTGTTACATGGTCCGGCTCCAGGAGGACCGGCTGATTGGAGGATGATTCCTAGTTTCAAGAGTCATATTGCCTACTACATTTGGACAGGTAGTGTAAGTTTAAATATATTTATTTTAATATACTTTTTCTAATTAAATTAGAAATTCTACAGGAGCGCAGCGTCGGACGATGTGAGTCCAGGATTACCGCGCTTAATGATTTTAAGAAACATGAGCTGAAGCAACTCATGGCTCCTTACGGGCAGGATGAGTTAGAGCTACTGGAGGCATCTGGCCTACACTCACTCGAGCACTTCTACATGAAAAATGTAGACAAGGGACTCATGGGGGCATTTATAGAGTGGTGGCAGCCGGAAACGAACAATTTCCACAATAGATCCTGCGACAAAACCTGGGATGTAAGATCTGAAATTGAGCTCCTCGCCCGGTTCCTTTCGAGGCATCCACATACGATTCTGATTGGCAGTGGATTCATCACTTGATCTACCACTCCCTCGACCCCGCCCCCGTCCACGACCCGAACCGGGATCGGTTACTTTCGATGGTGGAGTTCCGGTAGAAGTACTTTTTCGACCCCTAGAACCTGCAAACGATTTACCCTTTTCTTCATCAGACGACTTCCGTGGGAATGTTGGGAACTCCCAACCGGATTTATCTCTCTTCGTCGGTTTATCCTTTGGCCTTCCTTTCGGTATAACATATGCAGGCTCTGCCAAGTGGATGGTGTCTGGATTAATAACGCTATTCATGTAATCAGCAGTCATCTTTTGAGTCATGTAATCTTTTCCTAACACTTCGGTGGCTAGTCTGATTATCCGGTCTTTCATATTTGATTCACGATCCACCTGTGCTTCGGGGATTTCTGGTTCTTCAACGTGCATGGTACTCCAAAATGGATGTAGATCCATAGATATAACTGTATCACGTTGCTGGATTTTCAACGCAATTTGGCATGCACATGGAAGTCCATGAGTAACCCACAGAACGTGATCACAAAGAGATGGGTCTTGAAACCCCGGTTTATCGAGCTCATCATCAAGAAAATTTCATGCTTTATGTGTGACTTTGAATATCAAACCCTGAAATACCGGATACGATGATTTATGCAACCAGATTAAACTGTATTTTGAAAACTCACCCTTGATCTTGGTAAGTTGATACTCGACCCCGGAGTCGAGCTGATATTGAATGGTGTTCACAGCGCCGGTAGAAGCACTAATCCAACCCTTCGACGATTTATGAGCACTTTCCACCCTGTTAATAGCCATTAAAATAACAACTAATGATTAAAAACGCCCACAATATAATATAAAATACAAGACGATAATGAAACCGAAAATACCTATTAGTCGACGTGTTGCCAAAATGCAAAATCTTATTAGTCCATGCTTTGACGAATTTGTGCTTGTATATTAGCCAAGTATCGTTAAGGTATGATATCAATTTGGGGTAACAACCATAGCGTCTAACCATTTCCTCGTAATTTTCATAGTAATCTTCTTCTGTTTTTGATTCCACTAATGTTGCCCAATGTATGCGCCGGAATATAAGCCCGTGTTTAGTACTACCAATATATCTCGATGCATTTTTTTCCACGTTTCTATTGATGTGAAACAAATACAAGAAACGTGCGGAATCTGGAAATATTTGAGGCATTGCTTTAATGAGTCCCAATTCACGATCCGTCAATATCACATCAGGTACCAGCCCCCCCCCCCCCCCCCCCCAATGCACATTTCAAACTACTCAAAGCCCATTCATATGTGTCTGCATCTTCATGTGACATGAAAGCAACAACAATTGTAAAATTATGACCAACAGGGGTGATTCCAACTATTTCCAGAAGTGGCATCTCATACCTACGTAAATACATAAATATCAAATGCAATCAATGTACAATAGCACAATACTAAATACTAATTAACAACATACCTATTGGTTTTGTAAGTGCAGTCCATCAATATAACGTGAGAGAATAACCGCAAAAGTTTCAGTGAAATAGGAGCATCGAACATCAAATCAGTAAGTGTATCATCACCTTCATTACTTCGATACCAATATTCATATCCAGATTCTTGAAGGTTCGACATCACGTGTTGTATCACAGTCTTCCCCGCCATATTCTCCTTTTTCATCTTCTCAAGTTGGTTGTAGACATGTTTCACACTCGTTGATGTCTGTGGATTATCCTTCCTCAATCGATCCATGATTAATGCCGGCTTCACGTGGCTCCTTCTGAGTAACTTAACTACCTCGTATTCTTCTGGTGTCAGACGACTATCCGGTCCTTGTCCGGTAAGATACGGTAGCGTCGGGTGAGTATGGATGCCATTTTTTAAATTCATTCGCCATAGTCCATCGTTTCGAATTTTGCTACAATATATACGAAACGGACATCCACATTTCTTTGTTCCCACATTCCGTTGCTTCACACCTTCGGTTCATTTTTCACGTCCCTTCCCAGACACATGACATCTAATTACTACATACACGTTTTTCTGGCTTGAAGTTACTATCAATCGATGATGAGTAGCAGCCAATTTTTTTGCCCATTCCACTAATTCTTTCCCAGTTTCAAACTCAACACCCACATTGAAATATTGACTGTGATCCTCAAAAGTTGTTGGTGTGTCTTGAGGAACATCAAAACACATGTTGGGATCCTCGTACTCGTTGTACTCGTTGTCATATTCAGTTCCAAACTCATCGTCAAAATCACCTTCACTAGCCTGTTAAGATATAAAAAATAATAATTAGTATATAAATAACAATATAAAAATAAAAAATAAATAAATTAGGTTTCTCGTGCCCGTAGGGGACGATAGTTCATGGTTCCCGTCCTCTAGGGCACGGGAACCACAATGGTCCGTCCTCCACGGCACGGGAACATGGTGTTCCCGTGCTCCTCAGCACGAACCTTATATATATATATATATATATATATATATATATATATATATATATATATATATATATTATATATATATATTTTTTTTTTGATTTTCCCGTGTTGTGCAGCACGGGAACCCCAAAATTTTGGGGTTCTCGTGCCACACAACACGATATTGCCGCAAAAAATTTGAACTTTCACTAATTTCTTCGATTTTACCTCGTAAAGTCATCACAATCGGCCATAATGTTATTTGTTGTCATCGGGTAGTCAATTGATCAAACAAAGTCGGAAATCTTAATTCTCGACTTTTTTTAGTTGAGAGCGTTTTGAGTAATTGAGAAAGTTGAAATGAAAAGTACCGCTGCAAATAAGCCAATTTCAGTAAAAGTCCCGCTACAATTAACAATTCAGCAAGAGGAAACATAAATAAAAAAAGAGGATAGAGAGAGGAAAGAGAAAGAGGAGAGAGAAAATGAAAAAGATAGTGTTAGACAAAAGATGTAATTTCAAATTAAAATGAACGATATTTTCATCGTTGTACCTACCTTTAGGCAGCTATGTGTGCTTTATAGTTTGCTTTAAGGGTTGTCACGCATGTGAAACGTGGGCAGGGACTGAGCCGCATTTGAGTTTGACCATGGGATTTATGTGTACGTATCCCATAAATAAGAGGTTTGAGGTTGAGAAATAATACACACTATAATAATCCTCTCCTACTGCAGCTTGGTCGAACCCCATTTTTCTCTCTCCTAGCGCCGCTGCCTAACACCATCCCGCTGTTGTCTTCAGTCTTCCTCTCTTCTTTCTTCCGTTCGTTCACCCCATTGAACCAGATTAATTTATAGTGCAATTAATCTTGTGAAAAATATGTTTCAAGCTGAAACCTTCTTCCGATGAAACAAAGACGAAGTGTATTGCTCCCGCTAAGGATTTCGATGTGACCCGGCATTAATATTATATTTGGCCAAAAAAGAAATTGAACCTAACTATGGGTGGAAATCAGAGAAATTAGATCATAATTAATACTTCTAGAGTAACTTTAATTTTTTTAAGTGAAAAACTAATCTCAACTTTGTTCCAAAATTTTAGAAATCCAAATTTTGGAATTGGAATGAAAAACTAGTTCAAAAAGCAAAATACTTGTATGAAAATTTAGTGACCTTTGGCATAAAATACATAATAATATTGATCTTACAAGCGTTACAAAATTCGACAAAATAATATTGTTCTAACATTGAAAGTTTCTTAATCATAATCACTGGAATTCGAAAAATCCTCCCACTTTGCATTCCTAGGCTACATGGAAACATTTGCGGAGACAATATGAAGAATAGCACCCCTTAATATTGGCTTACGGTAACTCATTTATTGGTTTACAAGATTTATTCCTTACAATACTTTCCCAATTTAGAATTTGAATTGAAAATAGAAAACAACTACGGTGTTGAAAGAGTCGGGCCTTTCACTTATTCATTGTTGAGGTCCGGCTGGCGGTTGTGGCGGCGGTGGCGGAGGACTTGGGACCCTTAGGATCTTAGGTGTATCCCATACTTGATCTAATAGTTGCAATAAATAAGTAGAAAACGACGATGTACATATTAATATATTGAAACATAAATAGGAGTTGGTATACTGATGCAATTTGACTAAACGATTCGTGCATTATCTGATTACTTATTATGGAATTTTTCCTTTACTTAATTTCCCTCAATTAATATACTTCTACTTCTCTTAATCGAAATAATAGAATTGGATTTATTTTTTACAGTTCTTCTCTTATGTTTTTAAAATAAATTAGCAATTCTCCCCGTGCAATGCATGAGATTGCAAAAATGAAGAAAAATTAAATATATGATAATTAGATTGTTTTAAATAAATCTACGTCTGTGTGTATAAAAGAGAGAAAGAGTAAAAAAAAAATATACTATCCGAAAACAGATTATAATTTTGCTAGCGGATTCTCAAATCTAATTTGCTATGAAAGTCATTAGAGGAAAAAAAAAATTTGTAGGAGATGAAATAATAATAATAATAATAAAAATTACAAATATGGCTTTAGAGTTGTTTAGATTGCCCTAGCGTTTCTTACTTCTATATATAAGATAACACTTTATATAATCCATTTAATTATTTCGTTTGAAACTTTTCGAAGTAATTTTGTTTTTCCTTTGAAAACTGTTAGAACTCAAAAATACTTCCTTTTTTACCTTTCATCCTTAAAAATGGAATTAAAAGAAGAATGTGGTTTTCGGGGCAAACCAAAAGGAAATTCAGTTTCCATGCCCCAAACCGTTGAAAAACAAAAATTTCAATGACATATATTTTTTTTTCTTTTATAATCAAGGAACAAGCAATAAACTATTATAAGTACAGTAAGTAAATTTTTATTTTGGTGTAATGACTTCAGTTATTTCACTTATCACTCTCTTGGCACCAAGAATGAAATAATCTTCGTCAAGACTTAATTTGCTCCAATTTCTCCTTTGTTACTCTATTTTTTTGCATTTTTAACTTACTAGCTTCACTTGTCATTATTCGTTATTCAATTTTCAAACTAAAAATCTCCCTACACGTCAATCACTACCACCGGCCACCACCCCAACGAGCAGTGGGGAAGCTAGCTGTAGGGCTAGGGGGGTCATGGTGCCAGTGGCGAGTCCATAAATTTAGTACATGGTGGACTTAATTTTTTGGATGTTCGGGGGCAACGCCCTCGAATAAAATTTAGAACTTGTTTTTGCATAAAATATATGACAAAATCAGAACAGTTAAAGAAAAAAAGGAAAAAAAAAAAAAAACTTTTTTAGGACCTTTTTGGCATTTATTTAGATTTTGGGTGGCGCTAATTGATAAAAATGAGGTAGGCTAAATACAATTATAGGTATAATTTAATGCAAAAAAATAATTTACTTAGTTTGACATTTTTTTTAAAACATTATTTGGAGCCGTTTGAACATTAGAAAATTTTAATGTACCATTGGTACCATAGGTTTTAGAAAATCACCTTATGGAATATAAATAAGTCATAAATTTAAACTTCAAAACGAACGACCAATTTCCGTAAATTATGTATATATACATTCACTAAAAGAAGGATGTGCCGTAGATACCTGGAAATATTGTTCTTCCTTCAATTAGGGTAAAACCAAGCAATATGAGTATGACAATAATCACCTTGCCGAACCCTTTCATCTTTCCTAATTGGATGTATATTAAAGCGATCAAATGGACTTTGCGTATTCGCAGATATTTATAGAATAAGGTCAAACCTTGAGAAAGACTTTGATCGATTTTTCCAATCCAAAATTGTGCTCGGAATTCAATAGTTTCAATCTAAAAACTTCCTCGAAATTCAATTTCATGTGAAAGAAAAATTCTTAGCGTTAAACTTTCCTGCCTTCATTTAAGTCTGTTCACAATGTTTTTTGCTTTCTTTGATGATTTTTCTGCTCTGAAATTATGAATGCTCATTTAATTTATCTTGACTGGACTTGGTTGGTCAATGCATGAGTCAATAGGTTTATTGTGACTTTAGCATTATTTTTTGGGTCAATTAGCCACATCGGCGGATCTAGACAACATTTTATGGGGAGATGAATTTTATAGGAAAAAAATATATCCAAAGGAAGGTTATAATTTTGGAGATTTTAGGGATAGCGCCCCGAATTGTTTTTTTCGGTTATTCTCAAAATATTGCTAAAATAAGTATATATTTATAATTTTGAAGTAAAAAAATATATTTTAGTAGTTGAATTTTATATTGTAATAATAAATAGAGAAAGAATATCTAAAATTACATAAAAGAATAGAGAAGAAAATAAAAATTGGGGGGTTGGGGGGGGGGGGAGGACGGGGGATATTTTTTCTGGGAGGGCGTCCGCCCCGCCCTGCCCTTTAGAAAATCCGCCATTGATTAGCGAATATCCCCTCTAGCATTTTTGTTGATAAGGGTGGATTCACCTACTTTTTCAATATTAGTAGTAGATCCACTAGTTTTTATATGCTAAAAATAACCCCCTGCAGATATAAATTAAATTGATAAAAAAGGCAATAAAAATCCCGCATCTAAATAAAACGCTAAAATCATGTTCTCAAATCCCCCAAATCTCGAATCCCCGGTCCTTCTAATCTTGCACTACCAAAAACAATTTCTGAAAACTCCAGCACTACAATGCTGGCGAGAATTCTAGAGCCAGACACACGACGAAGTTACAAATCGGCAGTGACAACCATCTTGGAGATGCGAACCGTTCTAAAACAAGTACAATTTCCCCTAGTTGTATTCATTTAGTACCCATCGACAAGAAACGACTACAAGCAACTATTTTCCAAGACCATTACTATATGAAAAAGATGCCGGACATAGTGACATGTTCGTAAATTTCTTCCACCTCTTCACACAAATGACCCTAACCCATTGTCTTATTTTTATTTTATATTCTTTGACGTGGTTTACAGATGAAATGAGGATGACAAAAATTAATGATATTCGAAACATCGACGCCGTAAGTAAATATGCTAATTTTTTTTTATTTGGTCGATTATGAAACTACCTTTCTTTAACACGATTAGAAAATTAGTTTGTTTTATAATATAAAATATTTGATTAAAGAAAATAGTTAATCAAAAAAATAGTTGATGTTGAAAAATATATACTCTACTTAAACCATTTGAAACAACATTTAGTATGATTTCTATACGTTATAAAATAGTTGATTAAAGAAAATAACTGATGTTGAAAATTAGTCTTTTTGTATAATGTTGATGTTTACATAATCTGCACTGACGGAATAAAGGGTGCAAATAGACTTGTGCAATAGAAGAGAAAGGAATGAAAAAATATGCCTAAGATATATGCATTCTTGAAGAGTGTCAACTTCAACCAAGCACACCCCGAATGCCTCATATTGACGCCTTTCCACAATTGTATTTAGCTTTGGAATGGATGAGAGGGATAAATTTTGTAGTTGTTTTTCAAAGTCGCGTTTAAATGAATAGAAAAAAAAAAAAGATAATTGCAATAAATTATGTGGATGTAATAGTATTTAATTATTCTTATTGTTGCTAAAAATTGTTTTAGTTTCATGTGTTGCTTACCAATTGTGATGTTATTTCTTGTAAATTTATTGTGAAATTGGAGAAAAAATAGTTGGTTTTACATTGATATCGACAAGTCTATATTACAATAGTTAGTTTAAGGAAAACAACTATTTGTGTCGCATGTTAACAAAAATGACTATACAAGACACCTAATATCACACGCAAAAATGAACCAACAAAAACATCTATAAAAAATATATAAAAACGACTAAAAACAAATACTAAATTCAGTGAAAGCACCTACGTTATGTCATGTACAAAATAAAAAATGAATTTATGTAATATAAATTCCAGGAAAAACAACTATTTATGTCACATGATAACAAAAACGAATACGAAAAATCTAACATAAAACGACTACAGAAAATATTCAATTTCATCATAGCCCTAACGCCTCCACGCGAAATGAACCTATAAAATCAACTACAAAAGTTTCACATAAATGACTATAACAAAAATCAAGATTTCAGCGAACTCTAACGTCGCAAAGCAACTGTGAAGCCTGTGGAAGAAGCTTTTGCCGCTAATGTGAACAGCTAATATGAACAGCGTCGCTGCCAAAAATCCTAATGGAGAAGGGGTTCATAACGCCGTTTTAGACTTCCGCCTCGACAACTTAACCTAGAAGACGATTTGTTGGTGATTGTCGTCGTCGAAGTTTTCGTCGTTCTTCTTCATGCGATTGAACTTCCAACAGAAAAGGGAGAGAAGAGAAATAGCGAGAGAGAGCGAGAGTGAGGAAATAGAAAATGACAGATTCAAATTAATTATGGATCGTGAAATCTGTGATCTCATATCTCCAATAATATGTAGTTTAGGGATAAATTAGGCATATTATGTAAGATATTATCAAATATTGATTTTAATTAATAAATAAGGAGGTATGACTAATATTAGAAAAGGAGGTGAGGAGGGATGACTAATATTAAAAAAGGAGGTGGATCCATCCTCAAATACCTAAAGGTGTTGGGGTTCTCACTAATTATCCCTTCTCCCCCCATAAATATTTAAAATTTAAAGGTAGACAATTTCATGTTTCTTTCGTCCAACTATACCATAACATGAATATGTGATTAAAAAACAAAATAAAAGGAAAAAAGAAAACAAAGAAAAAAGGCTACAAATTTGTATTTGTGAAATAAGAACTTTTTCCCCGCGACACAAGAATGTTACTTTATTAGTTAATATGCGTCAACCTTATAGGACACTTAAATATAACAAAAAAAAAAAGGAAAAAAAACCTTTAAAACTGTTGTGAAATATAAAGTATAATACAATCTATATATATATATATATATATATATATATATATATATATATATATATATATATATATATATATATATATATATATATATATATATATATATATATAAGAAGATAGCTAGGCTTATGATTTGTAAAAACTAGTTCTTGTACAATACACACAAAGTGTAAGTTAAGAAGCCATCATTGCTAAATTAAAGAAAGTAAATTAAATAGAGACAATTGAAAAGTATGTACGTGATATTATAGGATTCTAGATACTCAAAACTTGTATCTATTTCATTAATAAATGAGAGTATTTATACACAAATATTTACTGCATGGTTACTACTTTACAAGATAGAAATTCACCACATGTTGACACGTAGAGTTTATGAGATAACTCTAGTATTGCAGATAACTCTACTCAATACTTGCCCACTAAGATATACTTTCATATATATCTATTATAATACTCCTCCTTGGAATAAGTATTGTAAAATAAATGTGCATAAGCTGCCTCACTAAAAACCTTTGCTAGAAAACCCAACGGGACAAAACCAGTCAAAAGGGAAAAAGAGTGCAGCGCACTATTGCTCCCCATGAAATGAGCAGTATAGTCTCCAAAATCGGCCACCAATCTTGCTTCATATTGGCTCTTCTCATTCCAATGGCGTATACCAACTTCTCAAATGTAGATATAGGCAAGGACTTTGTAACCAATCACCAAGATTGTTGCATGAGCGAACTTGTCGAACATCGATCTCTCCATTCTTCTGAAGCTCATGTGTGTGGAAGAACTTTGGTGATATATGCTTGGTCCTATCACCTTTTATGTATCCGCCCATTGTTTGCGCTATACAAGAAGCATTGTTTTCGTAAATGACTGTGGGCATGTCTGTAACTGGATGTAATTGACAGGAATTTCGTATATGAGATATTACTGATCTTAGCCAAACATATTCTCTGCCTGCCTCATAAAGGGCTATTATTTCTGAATTATTTGAAGAGGTGACCGTCAACGTCTGTTTGGTAGATCGCCAAGATATACCTGCACTATTATAACAAAATAAATATCCAGTTTGTGAGCGAGCTTTGTGGGGATCAGATCTATATCCCGCTTCGGCATAACCAACTAACCCTTGGTTAGTTGCATTCTTTGAATAAAATAATCCCACATCTGCAGTACCATAGAGATATCGAAATATATGTTAAACACCATTCCAATGTCTCTGGGTAGGCTCAGAACTGTATCGCGCAAGCACATTTACCGCAAAAGAGATATCAGGTCGAGTGCATTGTGCTAGATACATTAACGCTCCGATAGCATTAAGATACGACTCTTCAGGGCCAAGTATCTCTTCATTAAATTCTTTAGGTTGGAAAGGATCATTTTCAATATCTAAATTGCGCACAACCATAGGGGTACTGAATGAATTAGAATTTTCCATATTAAACTTTCTGAGCACTCATTTGGTATATGCAGATTGCTGTACAAGTATGCCGTTATTTTTATACTCAAACTCAATACCGAGATAGAGTTTGGTTTTTCCAAGTTCCTTGACCTCAAACTATTTCTTTAAATATTCAGCTGCATTGGCTAACTCTGCATGAGTTCCAATCAGGTTCATGTCATCTACATAAACTGCAATGATAGCAAATCCGGTTTCAGATCTTTTAATAAAAATGCATGGGCAAATGGGATCATTTTTCTAACCTTCCATGATAAGGTATTTACTCAATCTATGATACCATATGCGACCGGATTGCTTTAGACCATTCAATGATCTCTGTAATTTGATTGAGTGCAGCTCACGAGGTGCGTCAGAGTTTGGCATTTTAAATCCATTGGAAATTTTCATATAAATATCAGAATCTAGTGAACCATATAGATAGGCCGTTACAACGTCCATTAGATGCAGGTCCAGTCCCTCTTGGACGACCATATTGATAAGAAAACGGAAAGTGATCGTATCCATCACAGGTGAATACGTCTCATCATAATCAATTCCAGGCCGCTGGGAGAAACCTTGAGCTACAAGGCGGGCTTTATATCTTACAATTTCATTGTTCTCGTTCCTCTTACGAACAAATACCCATTTATACCCAACGGACTTTACATTATCCGGAGTTTGAACGATTTGCCTGAATACTTTCCGTTTTTCTAGGGAAGC